ACGGCTTGCCAGCAGCGTGATTCATCCGGCTGGAAAGGCCGGAACTCCGTCTGGAAAGGCTATTCTCTAAGGCAACCCATTTCATTTAAGTCGACTCACCTGTTCTAGAGTACCGGCAAACCCCACCACTCTCCCTGCAACTGGAAAGTAACCGGGCAACAGGAAGGGAACCCTCTGGCAGCAAAAAGGTCACGTCAGAAAATTTGGCGCCGTGCTATTCTTCTTCAGGGTTTAAAGACCACTGCCTCAGCTGAACTCAAGTCCTTCCCCCCATGGCCACATCTCACGTGCCAGAGGTCGGAAGGAGGAGTCCTTTGCTAGTGAAGAATCTCCGTACGCTACTAACTGGGCTGTCCTGCAGGTCCTAATAACAGCTCTGACCCGTGCTACGGCAGTGGAGCGAGTTTGCGGGGATGGGACTGAAAGAAATTACTTCTAGGAGGCCAAGCGACGTTTCTGCTATTCTGTACCCTCCACGCATTTCAGTTTGCCCCTCCTGGCTCACCCCAAAAAAGATAACCGAAATGTAATATAAGCACGTCTTAGTATTTAAAGCTGGTAAAGCAAAACCTTTAGTCCATGGAAAACACATAATAGTCCTTCAACATATATACCGGACTCTGGTTTAAATGCAAATCAGTATCTAGAGGATATCAATTCTCTACCTCCTACTTGTTCTGCTTCCTCCAGCCACTTGGACAGTATCGATTTCAGTTTGCACGCGTTCTTGAAGCTCAGCTGCAAGTTTTCAAACCGGCAAATAGTAGTTTGGCTGAATTCAGAGCCGTGCACAGCAGCCAGTGCTTCTCCAACGTTGGTTTGTGTATAGCCTGTCAAAAGCAAAGGGGAAAAAAGTCACTTTGGGGCTTTCTAGGAAGGGTTACTTTCCTTGAGACGCTTAGTCCTGACTGCTGACTCTTATGAAAAGCGTGTGCCTGCAGCGTCTTCAGGATGGGCTTTCTGCAGAGGTGTCTCTGGCTGACTCCGAGCTCACCTCAGAGACACCTCCCCTCTCCTGCTGGTTTCAGTGGAGTTTTACACTCACGTAGAGTTTGAGAAGGATCCAGACACCCCACGTCTTTCTTTCGATAGATGGTGCGATGGCAATAAGCTAATCCCTGGCGGCACCGCTGGTCTCCTGTTATTTGCTGTGACAACCAAGTTGAAGCAATCAGAGAAATGCTGCAGTTTCCACACAGACGCTGACTTTGTAACGGCAGCTCCCCGTTCAGTGCTGTGAACGTCCATCAATCAGACACGCTCAGGGGTCTGGCTTGTCATCCTCCCTTTCTGCCTCTGCACCAGAATGGGCAGCATCTCCTTAGACGCTGAATGCCTCCCCGGGCAGCCTTTTACCTCCGTTCTGATTGCACTAACTCTGCTGTGTCTCAGACCCACAGTCCATATCAATTCTGTCTTCCTCTGTAAAGCTCGACCTCAGATGAGGTTTCCTGTGCAAATTGCATTTTTCCCATCAGACCATTAAGCACAGTCTTACAGGTTCTGTGCCATTTGCTTGCATCAGAGGAAGTTTTGTTCCCTTACAAATTCGGGAGAAGATGTAGTAATAATTACAGTGGTTAATAGCTTGGGGCCTAGCAAACCTTTCCATTGCTGTGGCTGACATTAAATACATGATATACAGCAAAACTAACCAAATTGCAAATGGTATTTTAAGCCCTAAATGTTTGTTTCGGTTCTTATTTTTATACTGCAAATGGAACACGCTAACTTTTTAGCTGTTAAGATAATGCACCTGTAATAACCTTATAATTTTTTACATTTATAAAGCTAGATTTTTGTAGGATGCCCTGTTTTGTAATGATACAATGTAATGTTATAAGTGATAATGTAAAAATTGCAACTCTTCATTCAGAGTACCCAATGTTCATAAGTGGGATGAATCTTCAGCACCAGATTTTATTTTTTTATCTAGTACAGTTCAAACAAGGATAAGACAGGCTCTTACTTTGCAATGTACCCCAATTCTTCTGTGGAAAGGAGAAATTCCCTACAGGTGAGAAAGACAGGGCTCAGTCCACATTTGTCCTCAGCTAGGGTTGCCCAGTGAAGGAAAAGCAGGTCACAAGAGACCCTCCAATGCAATCTACCTCGCATCAGCCCCAGGGGTTATCAGATAGCAGCAAAGATACCAGTTGCTGCTGTATCTGTGTCTTGGCACAAGAAAACAAAACAGGAAGAGAAGCTTCCCACTGGTATGAAAGATTTGCCATGGGTGTCACCCATCTTGTATAGTAAAATTACATTGCACCATCTTGTGAGATGAGCACTTCATGGGGAAGAGGCGAGAGCATGTGCTGCTCTAAGTTGCAGAAAATTTGGTGCTGTGCAGAATAACACACCTGCTGCTGAGGGTAATTTAATGAACAACAATCCTCTGCACTTAAGACAAATAATTTAAGAGCAGGAAAGTTTAAAGTCACTTTCTGCGTACTAAGTTTCAAAAAGCTGAAGTTCATTAATTCTGTGCAAGTCTTCCAGCAATGGAGAAAGTTTGGCAGTGCAAGGCAGGATTAAAGTTATGATTAGACAACTGCAGCGGCTAGACTGTAAAAAATTTGGAAATAATGTGGCTTCCATTGACATAAAGCATATACCCAGCTTAATTCTCCGCAGCTTGAATTCATTAGCAAATTTCTCCAGTTCCCTGATTTCAGGGGAGTCCATGTCGATGGGCTCTTCGACAGACTTGCTTTTTCTGCGGAACTCCTGCTTGAAGTCTGCGGCGGCGGGATCATCTGCGAGGAGGGACTGGTGCATGGGCGTGAAGCCGTGGCCCAGGGCGCAGGAGCTGGCACTCAGGGCGTGCTCCGGGAATTTATAAAGGCAAGGGGTCAGGCCACCTGAGCAATACCAAAAAGAAAATGCAGAGCAGTTATTCTTTACTGCTACATGATAAACGCACACCTTCATCATCTCATAATCCATGTCTGTAATATCTATTACATAACATATGCAAAAGTATCCAAGAGTGGGGGTCTCCTAGGAGATAGGAGTCTCTCTCTTGTACCCATACCTGAAAACAAACCAACGTCCACTTTCACAGGTCATAGCCATCCTATTTCATAGCAAACTGTAATGCACTTAAATAAAATGGTAAACGGCTTAAACTTAAACAAATAACAATCCGAGGCCTCAGCTGGAATTAAGTGACACAACAAGACTGATGGATCTATGTTATTTTGAGCCACCTAAAATGTGCCAGCCTCTATTTTCTGGTACAGAGAATATTTCCATGTAAATACCATTATTTAGTTTTTGTATAAAATCAGTTTGAGGGAAGTACACAGGTAAGAGCTCAAAGAGAAACAAACAAAAAAACCCAACAACAACCCAGAACACATTCAGTATCACCGTTCTGGCTTAAAAAGAAATTGCTCGAGGAGAAAACAAAGCTGCCTCATGCTACCATTTGTTCACATATATCGGACTTAACACAGAGATTCAGTTACAAGTGAAGGCCATTTTTTCACTGGATATTGTACATAGAGCTAAAGAGTCTCTGACCTGAAGGGGAGAAAAAGATCATTGGAGAAATATTGATACTCTTCAGTGTATTTGGAATAGCCAGTAAATTCCAGATTCTTAGGACATGCTTCCCAATTTTCTAAATTACAGAACATTTTGTAGCAGAACTCAGAACTTCATTAACCTCCCACCCCTTTCTCCATTTACTTTTCTAGTCTTCACTGCCCCGATTGTTCTCACCAGCATTGGAGGTTCTAACCCCATAGGAATATTTTATATGCTTCACACAGCATAACCACACAAGAAAGATTTTCTCAGAGAGTAAAGAAAAAGTCTGAAAAAGAGAAGGACTTGCTTTGCAAGGTGCTGACACCATTTACCACATTGGGATGCGGCATGCTGCACGTCTGTAAGATGCGACTCTGGGAGAGACTTGCTGATAGCATCTCTGGAGTCGCAGGCTTGATGCCTAAAAAAAAAGTAAGGGTAAAAAAAGAAAGGAGAAAAAAATGAAGACGTATTTATTTTGGAATACAACAGAATTCACTTCTGAGCAATACTTTTTTGTTTCACACCTATTATCTTTTCCCAGGGACCTGAACAATGCCAGGAAAGTTTGCAACAGACACATAAATATACAATGAAATGAGAGCATTTGGACATTTGCACACCATGAAGGAAGTCTTCTCTCTGTCCCTAAGAAGTACCTACGCAGATGTATTTATCTCTGCTGACTTACTCTAATATTTCCTTCATTCTTAGATTAAATAAAATGCTGGGTTTATTTTTGGATTAGTTCTGAGACATGATTATTTCCTGGGAGTTGTGTAAATTTGGTTCATGACATTATCTCATTGACTTCTAACACTTCCTCTTCCCTGTCCTGAGACATGGAAAACTGAGCAGGATGCTAGCATACATTCACGAGTGTAAAAATCCACAATCACCTCTATCATCCACCTGCTGAATCCAGCTATCCTTCCATTATACCACCCTTTTATTGTGTAGCTCCAGTCAGGGCTCCGTCACCCCAGGAACTGGTAATACACAGGTATATCGGGTACGTCACTCCTGGTCCCTCAAAAAGTGGTGATCACCAGGGGAAGTGGACATAGGTAAGCAAAAAGAGCAACACTGTCCCAGTCTTGCAGAGACATATAAGATAAAGAGTGATTCCCTGAGACATGCAGAGGTTTGGGGAAACTCTGGGCACTGACCCCTAATTTCCTAGCCCCTTTTCTAGTGCATTAACCCCAGTCCTGTCTTCTTTAAGCAACTGTCTTGAATCAGCCCCTCTAAAGGACAACTGACCAAAATCAATGTGCTGATAGCTCACCTAGTTGAGGGTATGTCCCTTACCTGCCATCACCCCATAGGCAGACGGTTGATTTCCATAATGACAGGAAGGCACAGAGTAATGCAGGCCTGCCGAAGTGTTTCCCAAAGTCGTCATGGCAAAGCAGATATGGGAACATATAGGAGTTTGGATCAAAGACAAAACAGACAGGACTGGTAAGAAAATGTGCGAGGACTCAAGACACAGTCTATAAATTCGGAGGCAGACAGTATCCTTGTATGTAGTTTTTGTATGCATTCTGTGAGCATTTAACTCTGGGCCATAACCATCAGTTTTTTCTATGCATTCCGTGAGCATTTAACTCTGGGCCATAACCATCAGGTCAACACTGCCGAGACACCCCCTGAGCCAAGACCAGAAATTGTCATGCTGTGGCCTCGATGCATTGTTTTTAGTATAATCCATGGGCTTAACCCAGATTACATGTACTGCTGAGCAAGGGAAGCATCGAACTCTTCAGGATGAGACCGGTTCCTCTCCCCACCCAACTTCCACACACCGTTTCATTTAATCTTACATAAAAAATTGTTCTGTGTTCTCAGAAAATTGATGGGCTTCACTGTCATGCAAACCCCACAGTGAACACAGGCATCAAGGAAAGCAATATTTTATGCATGCCTAAGACCTGGATTTCCAAAAGCAGCAGTTTGACATTTGTTTTGGAGCATCCAAAAGTCACATTTTCGTAAGTGCCAAGCCACCAAAAAGGTTTCGGAGTGCTTTGGCAGGGTGGTAGGGAAACATAATGATAGACTCTGGGCTCTTCTAAAGAGATAGGCCTAAATCAACATTTTCCATCAGCTGTTGCTGCTGAATGTTTGTGCAACAAATGCACAATTAATTTATCTCTAGTATTTTCACAGGGGGGTTTCGGGTCTGTGCTCAGTAATAACCGGTGCCTGAAGAATCAGGCAATTTTTTGCTGAATGCAAAATGAGAGGTATGGCTGTTTCTCATGCATAATTAGACACAGAAATGCATATACTGTCCCCTTGAACAACTGCTATCAAGTATAATATTAAAAATTCACATTCGTGAACACTCAGATATGGAAAACTGCACTTTAGAGCACATATTCCAGTTGTTCAAAGCAATATAACTAATTAGGGACTAGAATCTCTGTTTTTTACAACTGTAATCATAACAGTAAAGTGTTGTGTTTAGATACATTTATACAGATATAAAAATCTACTAAAACAGGCATGCTTAGACTAGTATAAATGCACGCAAAATAAAGATTGCATTGATAATACGAATGCATTTAGAACGATGCAACTTTTCTGTTGAGATAAGGTCTAAATGTTTACTGGTGGTTTTTTTATATTATTTCATAGTCCATAGATTATAATTTTCATGCATGAAAACAGCATTTTCAACTTGCGAATAGGATTTAAAATTAAATAGTGAGGATGATGCTATTTAAATAATAAAAATTTAGGTGTTGAGGACACTGCAGAACATCAACTGAATGACATGGTACAGTATTGGAACAGAAGTATATTTACCTCTATTTTGTAACACAGAATTGTTACACACATTTTTTAAAAAATTGACATTTACTGTAAGTTGTTATTCAAAATTCTTTCATGTCTACTTTGTGCGCAAATTGTCCTTAGATACTTTCACCAGAATGGCAAATTTCAGCAGAATGTTTATTACAATTTCTGAATCTATATATGGCATTTGTAAACCTTTACTCATTACAGCCAGCACCCTCTGTCACTGCTTCCATTCTCACGGGTCACCTGCTGGATGTGATCCTGCAAACAAAGTTCCCACTCACTACAGTGGTATTTGTCCTTGGGCGGCAACTGCAAAATACTAAATCTTAAGTTGGTGAGAAATGCTCTTGGATGGCTGTCACCATATACTTTTTATTTCGAATCAGATGAATCTAGAAAATACTACTATGATACAGATACGTAAATTTGGCCTCATACAAAATTTAAAATCTCCTATTCCTTACTACCACTGCTAACCAACAGCCATATTAAGATATTTTGAGCCTCTTGCTTAACGTATAAGTTCCTGTTATCTATCATCAATGCTCAGTTTTTATTATTTACATGCTTTTCTTCTTATTAAAATGTTTTACTACCAAAGCATTTCAGGAGAAGGCTAGTTTCTTGTTAAGACTCTGAATAAAATTCTTACCTTAGTGCAATTTCAATTAAGTCAAAATTTCCTTTTTCTGTTCCTGCAAGTTTTGCACCAACAATTCCTGTATTCCAGAATCTCACTTCTGCAGGTTTAAGAGTGCAAGAAAATTCTCTTCCTTCCTCTATGTCTCTCTCAGATAGTTCAATGATTACACAGTCTTAGTTTTTAAATGCAATTAATTGGATTATATACACAAACACACAAAATTAAAAAATATTGATGAGGCTTCTGCCACCAGTTTTGAACATCACACTTAAATGTTAGTCTTGATTCAGTACGCAATATGCTTTGTAAAGCAATATTTTTCCTTCTTGAAAGCTTCCCCAAAGCTTTAGACCTAACCTGTTTTAAATATGTTTCCTGTTTAAAAAACTTACTTTGTTTTAAATTTAAGAATAAAAAACCTTGCAATTAATTTACATGACACTTGTATTTGAAGACTACATAGTCAATAACAACAGTGACAGCGTGTGAGCCTGTTCTAAGTTAATGCATTGGTAGCATACTTGAGCTTAATCTTGTAACAAACTTAGATAAAGCTACAAATTTAACTAAAATACAAATGTGTGGGGTTTTCCTGGTTTACTCATCATGCAGAGTTTTGTGAAAATGCTTCTACTTTAGTGAAGTCCCAATCACACGTAGCATTGATACCAAACACTTTAAATATTGCAGAACCTGATGAACACGCATCATCCAAAAGCATTACAAATGAGAGTTACTGAGAGCAAGATTATTTTTTAAAAGTACCTGTAGACACAACATTGGTGGCATGGTTAGAAACCGGCAGGCACTCTGCGGCGCTGTGATGCATTATCAGAGGCAGAGAGGGAGAAGAGTCAGAATTCAAGGGTACAAAGGTGTCAGATGAAGCAAACGCTTGGCAAGTCATACCCTCCAGCAGGCAAAAGAGCCACTTGCCCGTTTTCTAACAGAACAGATCCTGCGCAATTAACGGCAGCTCAAACTCTATTCCAGGGTTTTTACCTGCATATACATATACAGGAGGGCTCCAGAGCACAGGGAGGTCGTGTGCAGGTATTTATACCACTAGGAAATCCCTTTATCCATTTTAATGTTTTTTTTTTTCCCAGCAATATTGCTCTACTGCTACAGAGCCTCCTTCCTTCCCACACAAACACAATATGTGTCCAATTAATGGCGGGGGAAGAAGAGGGAAACCAGAGACATGATTTGACAGATATTTTCAATTAGGTCTTTTGTGAAGAACAATGACCAGAAAAAAAAATAATGTAAAAGTATCGTCTCCAAAGTCGGTAGCAATGAGACAGGTACGTCTAATACTAAGTAGGTTTCCACAGTTAACACCTGCCCCCCAAATCTCATCCGGGCAATTGTCTGGAAGGCTGAGAGCTCAATCGAAAGTCTGCACAAGTCAAGAACCTATAGCAAAATAATCTAAATTAACCTAATTCCCAGCACTTGCACAATGATCATTTGTCTTAACGTACTAGTATAAATCAGAGATGTGTAATACAGAGCAGCTGTATCCAGGAGAAAGTTTCTGAACAGATTAATGTTTATCTAAGATGAACTCTTGAAAGAGCCTCTAGTGTCACATAAAACTAATTCACAGTTCCTATTATTAATTTATACTACCGCAGCATCTACTGTCTCATCCAGAAGGTCCTGGTCTTTATTGTGCTACACACTAAGCAAAAGCAGAATCTTTTCTCAAAGAATTTACTAGGCTGGTTTTTGGCACGAGATTGGAATTACTTGGGAGCATTAAAGAACATAAAGTCATTTTTAGGCTACCCTAAAAATGACTAAAATTACTGCAATACACCACAGTCACATATTCTATGTATATGACATAAATTTTAAAGGAAAAAATTACACAGATGGTCTGTTTAATTTATTTTTACTTTTTTGGAGGTAAAATGCATTGATGTGGAGGGGGATTTTTGTGGTCTGGTTTTTGGTTGGTTTTGGGGTGATGGGGTTTTTTTGGTGTTTTGTGACCAAAGATGGCCCGGTCAGACTTTTTATTTTATGTAAACATGAAGAATTTCTGTGTGTTTGGTATTCCAAACTGGTTCAAATGACTGGATTATGATTTTAATGGCATATGTGATACAGGAGCAATCATATGTATTATTGTGTCATTTTTCACGGATTATTGCAGAAAAGTGGTACTGCATAGAGCCATTCTGTAGAATTCTTGATATTATCTTTAAATGGGTTTTGAGGATGGCTGCATCTGAGGTTGTTGAGGAATTTCAGAAGTACTGCATATGGCAAATTGCACATGTGCTCTTAACAGTGGTGAGGCTCTATGTTCATTGACTACTATCCATATACACACTTCCATTTTGCAAAATATACAAAAACTTTAAAATAATCCTTGCAATATTATGCATGATTCTGTCATCAAATGAACTACCACCTACTTTGGGCTTGGTCTGATACATATTAAAGTCTGTGGACTCAAAAGTACACTGACTAAGGAATGAGAACTGAGTCTCAAGCTAGTATTTCATTCAGCTGAGGGTTTATTTGGAACCCATACAATTCTCAGATCAGAGCATGGCACTGAAGGAAACTAGGACAGAAGTCAACAACGATGACAGTGCCTTATAACACCTTGCAGACTATAAACAGTTCTCAAATGGTAAATCCTTCTTATGACACAAAATATTTTGTTAGTTCCAATGGCAGATGTGCAGCACACTTGGCCAGAGTGTTATACCTAATAGAAAGTGCATAAACTGTTACTCGGTTGAGTGGAAATTCGACAATTATTTTAAGCATTTTCACCTCTGGTGACCCTTCCTCCCTCAGCAAGGAGCATGATACATCCACAGAGGTCTTCAGTCCACCTATTTACTGAGGCCTTGAAGCCATGGGAGGAAAAGAAACACTAAGGATAACTTTACAGCCTTGTCCTTGACAATTCTTTTTTCTCAAATCCCAACACGTAATATTTCTACTGCAAACTCATAGCTAGATGCAAAGATGTTGTAGCCCATTCCCAAGTGCAAGATGGAGCTCACTTCCAGATTTCCATTTCTTCCTGAGCTCAGGAGCCTTACCAAACGTTGCCCAGGTGCTCAAAACTAAACAGGTCATTACAGGATGTT